TTTTTTTTAAGCCTGCTCTAGCTATTATTTATCTTCATCTTTGACTCAGTGAAGCATTTTGCAGGACAGAGGCTATACAAAATAAAGTTAGTCGGCTGTATTGTACAGGTCAGGGAACGATTAAAACGTGACCAGGTGAGGATGCAAGGACCAACCTTGCACAAAATAATGCAAAGACTAGACGTCCCAGTGGACTGTGCGTTACCTTGGTCAGAACTTAAGGTCAACCTCACAGCAGACAGACAATGGATTTAGCTTTGCCCCGCCATGCTGTCAGGGCTCGCATTCACTACACTAGGAGGCTACAAGCCAGATTTATGAAGGGCCTGGATAACATTACAAACAATAGCATTTGTAGCTGCAGACCAAAAGAGAAGGGAAATCAGATTTCATGCTTCAGGGCACCATTAGTTTACCATAAGGGTCAGGAAGCGTCACCATCCTTTTGCTTCCGTTGCGTGCAGGATTGCACATGGAGACCCACTGCGTGTGTGTGTGTGTGTGTGTGTGTGTGTGTGTGTGTGTGTGTGTGTGTGTGTGTGTGTATATATATATATATATATCTATATCTATATCTATATCTATATCCTCAATATATGTTTCACTCTATATGCATCCGAAGAAGTGGGCTGTAGCCCACGAAAGCTTATGCTCTAATAAATTTGTTAGTCTCTAAGGTGCCACAAGTACTCCTGTTCTTTTTACCTTCTTTTGATGTATGAGCTTAGCCTACAGCTGGCAGCCGGAGGATACCTGATGCAATGGCTTATCAGGTCAATCTGGTATGGCAAGTCCTACATCCCTGAGCATGTTGAGACCTGCAGGCTTCTCCTCCACAGGCCCCCCAGATACATGGTGTTTCTAGGCACTGGCAAATCTGAGAACAGCAACAAGTGGAAGCTGCTCACCTGCAGAACTTGTAGTCCTGGCCAGTCAGCTTCTCAAAGACGCAGGTGCCCATGTGTTCATCCCTTGCGAAGGCCTCACCTCCCCAAGCAGCGACGCCAGCCAGGCCTGCAACCAGCACCACAGCGGCCAGCAGCTTCATCCTGACCTGTCAGGGACCAAGGGGCATCAGGTTAGAGCTTCCCACTGGCAAGCGGCACCCCAGACCTTCTCAGCAAGGCCTCTTCTCCCCCACACAGGCTCCCTTTGGCACTGAGCGCAGGACAGTGGCTTCCTGAGGAGCCAGCCCTCCACCAGAGCACGCACCTCATCTCCCTTTCAGCTCTACTGCAGCGAGACGGTTTGCAGCTGCCTTGCTGTTTCACTGGCAGTGTGAGCGTTTCCACTGCATCTCTTAGCCCTGCTCGCTATCTAGTCCTGGAGATAAGCTGCAGACAAAGCAAAGCCATTCTTACAAATCACTTTTGCCTCTGCCAATTCTACATCATTTAAATCTCTGTTATGTCAGAGGGTAATTGCATTTACTAATGACAGACAGCACCAGGGAACACAGGACTCCCACCAAGCTCTGTCTGCTGCTAGCCCTTAGCAAGACCTTGCTCCTCAGAGGGCCCCATTGCTGCCTTGTGTAACAGGCAGCTGAGCAGACCTCAGAAAAAAATAAATCAGCTGCATTTCTGCTGTTTGCTTTGGGTACACAGGAGGGAGAGGACAGTGAGTGGCTTTCCCTTGCTATAGCTGATGCAAACTCAATTCAAGTGTACCCACTATTCCTCCATGCCCCCCCACTCCATACTCCCTCTCTCCTCCCCCATGCCTTGTTGGGCTTTCTTCCAGCTATAGCAATGGATCTAACAACATTTTCCTGAAAACATTCATGGATGCAACCTGCTACACTGCCCTGAAGCTCCGGTACTGGCCACTGCCAGAGACCGGATACTGGGCTAGATGGACCATTGGTCTGACTTAGCATGGCAGTTCTTGCATTTTGAATCGATACTGCAGCTCCAAAAAACACGCAGCTGGAGCAGATGAGGTTTGGGGCTGAACCCAGAAAACCCCAGAAAGAGAAGACGTAGTGTTCTGGTCTCCCTTCTGATACCATCTGGGCCAGTAGATGGGATGATGGATTGGGAGTCAGGAGACCTGGATTTGATTCCCCTGAAGTACAAGCCTGACTGTTCCCTCCCACCCCCCTATTCTTTGTTTTGCCCTTTTAGACTGTAAGCTCTTAAGGGCAGGAATTCTCTCACTATATGTGTGCAGTGCCTAGCACACCCAGGCCTCCAGAGCATTGTTTGTACTACAGTAGCGCCTAGGCCCCATCAGTATGTAGCATGTCTTAAAGGCTAGGTCTACACTACCCGCCTGAATCGGCGGGTAGAAATCGACCTCTCGGGGATCGAATTATTGCGTCTCGTCGGGACGCGACAATCGATCCCCGAATCGACGCTCTTACTCCACCAGCGGAGGTAGGAGTAAGCGCCGTCGACGGGAAGCCGCGGAGGTCGATTTTGCCACCGTCCTTACAGCGGGGTAAGTCGGCTGCGATACGTCGAATTCAGCTACGCTATTCGCGTAGCTGAATTTGCGTATCTTAAATCGACACCCCCCCCCCGTAGTGAAGACCTGCCCTTAGAGTTGACTGCTCAGAGAGTGCACATCCTGAGGGACAACACTCTGTTGGCTAGTCAGTGATCAAATCAGACATCCTTACTCTACGGTACTAGCCAGGGTTAAACCAAGGTTTCTCTCTGAATAGTCATGTGAGTTCCCTGCTGCTTTTTGTAACACACTGAAGCACAGCTTCACAGTGTGGGGGAAGAGCAGGGAGGTTTGCATGAAACACAGCCTCATTTCACCCAAGAAATTCAAATGAACACACTTAACTACTGAGAACAATTTCCATGGACGCTGCAGCTAGCCAGCTCGTCACGGAGTGAGAAGGGGCTTTGGAGCCTCAGTGAGGAACTCAGTATAGAGGCCTAGGAATCAAACGGGAATTCATTCTGCATATTTTGAAATCAAGGCTGGATTCCCCCCCCCCCCGATCTCTGCTCTAGTTCAAACAAGAATTAATTCAGGGAAGTCCTATGACCTGTGCTAGGCAAGTCAGACTAGATGAGCACACGCTGCCTTTCTGGCTTTATAAGATATGAAGGTTTTATACCTGGGGTTCCCATTCTAGACAGTCACACACTAATTCACTTCGAGTGGTTCCATCATAGCCTCTCGCAGTGGATTCCCTCCAGTTACTAGGCAGAGCCTGTCCCCCACCAGAGGGGTTGTCAAGTATCAGAGGGGTAGCTGTGTTAGTCTGAATCTGTAAAAAGCAACAGAGGGCATCGAGGTTTGTTCCTGAGTTAGAGTTGTTATGGTGCGGTGCGTGGTTGCTGGTGAGAATATGCTTAAGGTTGGCGGGTTGGCTGTGGGGGAGGACTGGCCTGCCTCCCAAGGTCTGTGAAAGTGAGGGATCATTGTCCAGGATGGGTTGTAGATCACTGATGAGGCGTTGGAGAGGTTTAAGCTGAGGACTGTAGGTGATGGCCAGTGGAGTTCTGTTGGTTTCTTTTTTGGGCCTGTCTTGTAGCAGGAGGCTTCTGGGTACACGTCTGGCTCTGTTGATTTGTTTCTTTATTTCCTTGTGTGGGTATCAGGTACCTCGATGCCAACTCTGCCCACATATCTACACCAGCAACACCATCACAGGACCTAACCAGATCAGCTACAACATCACCGGCTCATTCACCTGCACGTCCACTAATGTTATATATTCCATCATGTGCCAGCAATGCCCCTCTGCTATGTACATTGGCCAAACTGGACACTCACTACGCAAGAGGATAAATGGACACAAGTCAGATATCAGGAATGGCAATATACAAAAACCTGTAGGAGAACACTTCAACCTCCCGGGCCACACACTAGCAGATGTAAAGGTAGCCATCTTACAGCAAAAAAACTTCAGGACCAGACTCCAAAGAGAAACTGCTGAGCTCCAGTTCATTTGCAAATTTGACACCATCAGATCAGGATTAAACAAAGACTGTGAATGGCTATCCAACTACAGAAGCAGTTTCTCCTCCCTTGGTGTTCATACTTCAACTGCTAGCAGAGCACCTCACCCTCCCTGACTGAACTAACCTCGTTATCTCCATACTGATTTATACCTGCCTCTGGAAATTTCCATTACTTGTGTCTGAGGAAGTGAGCATTCACCCACGAAAGCTTATGCTCCAATACTTGTTAGTCTTAAAGGTGCCACAGGACCCTCTGTTGCTTTTTACAGAGGGGTTGTGGCACCTTTAAGCCTTCAGTGGAGCCTTTATTATTCAAAATTTGTAAATCAAGAAGGGGTCAGAGAGCTTATTCCAGAAGAACTGTGGATTTGTATGTGGTAGGATGCTTTGGGTATATTTACACTGCGATAAAAAAACCCCATGGCACCAGTCTCAGAGCCGGGGCCAGCTGACTCGGGCTGGGGTTATAAAACGGTAGTGTAAATGTTCGGGCTTGGGCTGGAGCCTGGCAGGAAGGTCTCAAAGCTCGGGCTCCAGCCTGAGCATCTACACTGCAAATGTACAGCCCCACATCCCAAGTGGGCCGACCCAGGTCAGCCATGGCTGCGGCCTTGGTCTTCTATTGCAGCATAGATGCACCCTTACACGCTCCACCATGCTAGATGTCATACACACACACACACACAGTAAGAGACGGTCCCTGCCCAGGAGCTTGCAATGGATACAACATCCAAGCAGATGGTTGGCAACTGAGGACAGAGATTAAGTGACTTGCCCAAGGTCGAGCGGGGATTGGATGCAAGTCCCACTTAAGCGCATTAAGCATGAGTCCATCTTTTCTGCTGGACTTCCTTGCTACTTCTTTTCCCTTCTCTGGAGCACCTACCTCTGTTTCTGCCTCTCTTGGTTATTCCTGAAGAATTAGGGAGCAACCAACAGGGAGAGGAAATTGCCCTTCCAAAGCCCCCTCTCCCGAAGCAGGTCATAGTCT